AAGTAAAATATGTAAAGTCAAAACATATAAAGAACATTACTATTTTGTTTATTATCTTGACTATAGAGAATAAAATGTCCCTTAACTGTTTAAGAAAACATGTTATGACCATAAAAATTGAACAGAGTTCTGTTCTTTAAAGGAGGCCTTCCGTGGTCAAGTTCAAAGGCAGGTGGAACGTTTATTCCACCCAGGGTGACCACTACAGCAGAATTAAAAATGTTAGCAGTGTTAGCAGAGTTAAAAGTGTTAGCAGTGTTAGCAGAGTTAAAAGTGTTAGCAGTGTTGTGTTAGCAGTGTTAGCAGAGTTAAAAGAGTTAGCTGTGTTAGCAGAGTCAAAAGAGTTAGCAGTGTTAGCAGAGTTAAGAGTTAGAAGTGTTAGGAGTGTTAGCACGGTTAGCAGTGTTAACAGAATTAAGAGTTAGCAGTGTTCGCAGAGTTAAAAGTGTTAGCAGTGTTAGCAGAGTTAAGAGTTAGCAATTATTATTATTATCAATAACCTGCATCCTTTAGGAGTTAAATTAATTTGTATCTACTCATATTCATGTAATTAAGCTTTTTAATGATTTGGCCGATTAATCGATTAATCGAAAAAATAATCAACAGATTAATCGATTATTAAAATAATCGTTAGTTGCAGCCCTATTTCCAGTAGGGTTTTCCAGGGCTGGATTGCTATATGATGGTAAGACCATCGGTGTCACATGCCTCTGAAAGCCTGTCAGTGATTGGTTGCAGTGGCCACACTGGTGTCATTGAGAGCACAGTCATCAGCAAACAGTAAGTCTTGGATGATTGCGTCCAGCTGGTTGAAGAGCTTCCCATCAGTCCTGTACCTAAAATGAGGCTATTCCCTCATCACAGTAAACATAATTGTATGTGGCAAATAACATGATGCTGAAGAGAGTTAGTGCAAGTACACAGCCCTGTTGGACACCATTTGTAACAGTAAAGGAAACTGACAAACCATTGTGATGAAATGTTCAGRACAACCACAATCTTACTCAAGCCTTCTCTGCTAACTGTAAAAAGTCTTTGGTAAGGTCAGCAATGGTGGTCACTGTTCTGTTCTTAGGACTTCTCTTGGAGCTGTCAAGCTGCAAAGACCATATCCACTGCCCTGCCCCCCCCCCACCCCATTTCCAGTACAAAAGCCACACTGGCTTTGAAAGGAGGAGTCCCTGTTCAAGGTGCTGAACAAGGCGATTACAGAGGACTCTAGCAATAATTCTTCCAGCTTTTGACAAGAGGCTGTTATACCAATGATTGTTGCAAGTATAGTCTAGTATAGGTGCACAATAGAAACATCCTTGAAATTCTGAGGCTGTAACACAAGGGTGGAACAATAAAAATATTTACATATTCACCAAAAATGGTCCTGTGTGAATGGGGCTCTGTGAGATGAAACCATGTAYGTATGTTTTACATATTTAAACCTTTTTCACCAAGGTGATCTGTAAGGTGTCGTATGCTTCAGTGGGAGATGTGGACCGGGCTGTGGCTGCTGCTAAAGAAGCTTTTGATAATGGACCTTGGGGTAAGATGAACCCCAGGGACAGAGGAAGTCTGCTATACAAGTAAGTACAATGACAGTCCTTTGTTTGTTCATTATGGCCCACCTTTGCCACCTTTGCGTGTGACTAGAAGCGTAGTTGCTACAACATGGGGATGGGGTTTTTCTTACCTGGTGGGGACGATATTGGACCATTTCCCTGGTACACACAGCCTTGTGAGAACCCACTGTTCCTTTTTGGGACAAAACTCTGGTCTCCATCGGGGGAAATACCGTTGATGGGTCAGGGGTTAGGGCTTTTGAGTTTATCAGTGGTGGGCACTAGTCTCCTAATACTCTGTAGCAGTAATTGTGGACGTTTAGGGCTTTTGCTAAATTTTTTGAACTGTGTGCAGATTGGCGCTTTCTAAATCTGAATATTCAGTAGCGCTAAATTAATTACTTCAGAAAGTATTGATCTTCATTACCATTTAACAGCAGAGGGAGAAAGCTGCCACGTCAATACAATGCAGAATCATTGTGAGTTAACAGCCCCCCCGATGTCTGCATGTTCACAGAAGTTACATACTCTAGCTCAGGGGTTCTTAACCTTTTTGACCTCGGGGCCCAGTTTGTTAACATAAAGTGACACGAGACCCAGTCACACATTACCATATGAAT